GAAGTAAATCATGATGGGATCAATTTTGGACATGCTGTTGTATGTGTGTGTGCCTGTGCGTGCGTTTCCAAAGATAGGGTCTCACCATGTCATGATCCTTCTACCTCAGTTTCCCAGCTGGAATTACAGGAATATGCCACTATGTTGGTTCTTTTTTAGACTAGGCCTCACTGTATTTCCCAGGCCAGCTTTGAACTCTAGATGTTCTTCCCTCAGCCACCCAAGTGGGACTACAGACCTATGCCACTTCACTTGGTCTTTAGATTGGACTGAAAATTGAACCTGGGCCTCCTTTGTGGCCCTAGCCTGGGGAGTAAGTGTCTTAGTATAATGGGTGCACCACTGCGCCTAGGCTGACCTTGGACATGCTAATTTTGTGTGGCTCTCAGGATATCTAAATATCAGGTTGAATCATATGAAATATTAGAAAGTCACTACATGTTGACTTAAAAAGTAGAAATTCTGTGAGATTCAGCATTAGTAAGAAATCTAGCCACAGAAACGTGTGTTTGGAGCTCTAAAGCAGAGATCAAAGTTTTGGATATAAATTTAGTTTTTAAAGAAATGAAATAGACAATCCTATGATAAAAGTAATTTTTTTTTGTTATATACTAATAGATAGTCAAATTTTATTTCTTACCCATTTTGTGCAAGGTCTATAAGTACTAAATCCTTTTCTAGAAGAACCACCACAGCATATGGTTCTTGAAAATCTGGAATACACAATGCATGAACAATAATTGTTAATATGCAAAGAAACAGCAAACTAGGTAATAAACATTCCATAGTTTTTTTTTTTTTAATTTTCTTGAGTGTCTGACAATTTGATCCTATGATAAATCATTTAACTTAAGGCTAATATGCTTTAAAGGATATAAATCTATCTAAAAACCCATTCAAAATGATCTCACTTTTGTAAAGATGAGTAGGAAAAGAAATGCACAGTAACTTCTATGGTGTTTCAAGGCTGAATATTGTCAACAAGACCAAAACTTAAATCTGAATACTTGTAAGAACAATTATCGTTATTGGATCATAGGAACCTAACAGAGTTCTACTATTATACAGTAATATCTTTCTTGGTATATGTGCCTGTTAGCAACTATAAAATGTTCTACACTTTTACTCCTAAGTAAGTTTCAAATACAGGTCTTAGAATGTTAAGTTTCTAGAGTATGAACCTTAAAGATACACAGCTTACCATTTGGATATGGTGTTTCACATAGTGTTAGAAAATCAACTATTGAATAGTCCATTTCTAGCACAGCAGTACTTTTCCCATGCATTACTGTTAAGCAAGGTCTTCTTCCTACAGTATCATATGACAAACCTCCTGATAAAATAATAAAAGGTTCCCTGGAAATAAAATACATAGTTAGGATAGTAAACAGCATATTACATTTTTTTTCTTTATTATAATTTTTAATTCAGTGAAATAACAAAATCTAAAATTCTAACATTTTTATACATCATATAATTAAATAGTAGCACTGGTAGCATATTTAATAGGATTAGGTAAGATGCAAGTGAATCCTTAAAAAATAAATCTGCTATGGAGCCAGCAGGTGGCATGGTGGTTAAGGTGCTAGACTTCCACACGGTTGACCATGGTTTGAGTCCCAGACCTTAAGTTCCAGACCTGGCAGTCTGCTTTGTTACTTTCCTGCTCTCTCTTTCTCTGTCTCTCTCTAGTCAAATTAAAAAATAATAATAAGTAAAATTAAATAAATATTTATTTTAAAAAATAATAGGCTATATAAATCAATACTGACCACAGTTAACTATCCTACTTCCCACTGGCCCCTAAAACTCTTTTTTACTTAATCGTCTATATAAAATCCTCAGATAATGTTCTCTAGCTTTCTGGTGATTAAGTCTCTTGAATGTGCTACTTCTACTTTCAATTCCAACCTAGCCTTTTAAACCAGAGTTCCCAGAGAGAATCTTAATGCCTTGAAGTGTCCCTTGCCTATAATGAATTAATTTCTCAAGAATTGCAATAGCTACAAATCGCCCTTGAGAAAATTGAGAAGAAAGTCACTCAAATAATTTCCTATAGGTCTTAATCTTTTTCTGGAACATTGGCTAATACACTGTCATACCAGAGATCCCATACATTCATCTATCAGCTGTTAGCCTGTACTTCTAATTAGCCCTGAAACTCCATAAATTTAATATTCCTATCCTCTCTATCGGTTATTAAATGATTACCTATTTTTTAAAAAAACTGCATTCTAACTATATTTTCATATATTACATTCTGGGTATATTTCTTTAACTTTGATTTGTCTTTCATTGGTTAGTGAAGTTATTTATGGTACATTATACAGATGATTTAAAACTTTCTGCATATGATTTTCTTAAATTCTTCACTTATAATTTCTTAGTTAATGCTTATATTAAGGAACAGTAGAGTAGGCATCTTCACGCTACTCTTGAATTTCTTTTGAAACTCTGTGGTCAAAATTATGTTTTTTAAATTCATTGCAAATATATGTTTCTGTAAAACAAACACAAAAATAAAACTGAATATGAATGTGCATGGAAATGTTGCAGTGATGTCAAATGGCATTAAGGTGTCATTATTCTTACTCTTGATTTCTGTACTATGCCATCCTTTTAGCAGCATTAGCTTGGTGTATGAGTAGCTGTTCAATACTACTACTTGACTGCCACTGTGGAGTGGCAGAGGGGAAGTATGTCATCTATTAACCCCCTCACAGCCTTAGCTGGGCATTTCTGGATAGGAAGGCCAATCCCGAGTTTAAAGAACTACTGCTTAGTTAAAACAAGTTTTCCACATGGTCTTTTTGAACTGAAAGGAGAAAAAGCACAGTGGGTCCGAGGGCAGGCCTTTCAGGAGACAAATGTGGTCAAATTCCAGCTTTATTACTTTGCATTGAGGACTGAAACTGATCACTTTACTTTGTTCTACATTTTTCCTAAAGAGCCTGGGAGGAGTCATGCCAATTAATAAAACTACACTGGGATTTCTGCTTATTATAGTCTTAATATGCAGACTTGTTGGGATATGTAAAGTTTATAAGGCTACAAAAGCAATTCATATCAGTCCATTACTTTGTGTTCTTTCTGGTATCAATACAATAAGAGAATTATGTAGTAATTAGGTATTAATTCAAAACAGAAATCTGAAATTGTTAACGTAGTTTTTGTCATGTGAAATTAATTTGTGATTAAATGGACTATATATAATGGTCACAGTGTTTCAAACGGATTTCAAAGCTAACCTTTAAGAGAGAACATTGTATAGTTGACAAAATCATATATGGGTTCATTCCCTGCCCTCTAGAAAGACATAATCAACAAATCATATAAACTGATCTCAACATACATTACAAATCCCTAAGTGAAAATAATAGAACAGTCAGTGAACCATCATTAAGACCTACTGTCTATGCACAGATCAACTCTGAAGCATTTTAGGGATGGGTAAAAATATGAATTAGGATGAGTAATGATGGGAAATCTATACGCGGATTAATTTGAACAAGCCATAAATTTTCAACAATGTGCCAGAGTGTCAATTCATATCTACTGCTCCATAAAAGGAGATTGTAGGAAAATATAGACAAAATTCAGTATTGTAGTAAGTAGGGTGAATAAACTAGAGGTAGTATATAAAAAGAAATATCTGAATAGGTTAACAAGTAAGTAACAATTTTGAACACAATTATGCTAGAAATGAAACTTTTTTTAAGATATTTTTTCTTTTTTGCCATGAAGTGCTTATCAACCCAGGGGAGATAGTCACACCACAATCCTTTCTCTTCCATTTCTCCTCTTGGAATTTTGGGCATGTATACATGCGCCCAGCATGTTTTTTAAGTTGCTAGGTCTGTGACTTGAACTGCAGTCAGCAACGTGGGATGCAGCACCTTAACCACCATGCCACCTGTTGACCTGGAAACTGTCTTTTTTTAATAAACAATATATACCTGAAAACTATATAAGGTTTTAAATTCTATTTTATAATTTCAGAAATGGGAGAACTGTTACCAAGTGACTATCAATTGCTAACACTTAAGCAAATGATCAATTGCTTCCTTAATTCATCATTTCTAGAAAAAGGGGCAAAACCACACATTCTGATGATTTCTGGTCCCTGCCGAACATAAAAATACTTAGCTGGGGAACCAGCAGTTAGCGTAATGGCTATGTCGCTGGACTCCCACGTAGTCGACTGCAGTTCGTGTCCCGGACCCGGTGGCTTAAAACTCACGCCGGGCGCGTGTGCGTGCGTGCCCAAGATCCCGAGAGGAGAATGGAGGAGAAGGGATTGCGGCGTGACCATCCCCCCTGGGGGGTGATTTCTCGCTTTCTGTCTCTATGTCTCTCTCTGTCTGTCTGGCGAGCACATGCGCCCTACAGTGAAAATCTCTCCAAAAAAAAAAAAAATACTTAGCTGGACAGACTGCCTGCAAAAATAAAATGGGAGTTTCTATGAATCATGCTGCTTTATGTGCAGATACAAACATATTTAACTTCGGCACGCTATTAATCACAGCGGGTTGTAGTATTAGGTAATTCTAAAGCACAAAATGCTGATTTTTTTAAGTAGTAAATTAAAATATAACCAAAAAAATCCAACACTGATGAAATTATTGATGAAACTGGTATATTTTATACTAAATTCTTTAAGGTATATGGATAAAAACAGTATAGTATATGTCAGGAACCATAAAATCTTTTTCTTACCAAATTCCACCACTGGGAAAGTAAAGAAATAATAGAAAATTTTCACTCCTGTGCTATCTATAACATTAAAAAGGAAAACATCTTTACTACTATATTTTTACCTATAATATAAAAAGCCTGATTATCTTAATAACATCAAAAAGATAAATGTTCAACCAAAAGAAGGAATTAATATGTGAGTAAATGATATAGCTTTTAAATTATGAAAAACAAAACAAAAAAATAAACCCTGAGCCAGCTCCATAGTGCAGGGTTAAGCACTGTATACTGTACCTAAGGAGCCGAATCCCACAGGGCTGACTGTAGATTAAGTCCCAGTTCCTGTGGCCTGAGAAACATTCCAGAGGCACATGTGCATATGTGCCCAAAATCCTGACAGGTGTAGGAATGGGGGAAAAAGAACTGCGGTATGACCACGTGCCCCACTGAGGGGTACTTTCCTCTTTCTTTCTCTGGTGAATGCACACACTCTCTGGGAAAATAAAAAAAAAATTAAAAACTTTAAAATAACTAGGACCAGCAGTTAGCATAACGGCTATGTCGCTAAACTCCCATGTAGCCAACTGCAGTTTGAGTCCCGGACCCGGCGGCTTAAACTCATGCTAGTTGCATGTGCATGCGTGCCCAAGATCCCGAGAGGAGAATGGAGGAGGAGGGATTGCGGCATGGCCATCCCCCCTGGGGGTGATTTCTCACTTTCTGTCTCTCTGCTTTTCTCTGTCTTTCTGGCGAGCGCATGCACCCTATAGCAAAAACCTCTCAAAAAAATAAATAATAATAGCTCTACTTTAAACATGTTAAGTAGGAAAAAATATAATAGTGACAACTTATTATATCTGAAAAAGGACTCAGGAAAAATAAACCAATAAAAAAAAGTTTTGGAAAAATGATATTACAGAAGATATACTTCTCTTCCTAGGACTTTACTTAATGCTATAAAATACTTTGGAAACCTAGTTATCCCTGAAAACTCTTCAAAAAATAAAATCACAGACTCTTCAAAAAATAAAATCACAGTGGTTAAATATAAGATAATTGAAGTATATATTTAACATTAATATAATTGTGGCTAAGTATTCACTTTTTTAAAAAGAATACATTTTTCCTCTGGAATATAAAAATAATTTACAATTTTAAAATGTTTTCTTATCTGTCACTTCATTTTGTTAAAATGTAGCTTATGCGGGAGAATTTTCTGCTTCTTAAGGACACTCAAGGATAGTTTTACAGATTAAGCTGTGATAGTAACATGATTCATTCATTCGACAAGCATTTGCTAAATGCTTACAGTGTGCCGATCACTACAGAAGGGGCCAAGAAGTCTCCTTTTCCATCATGAAATTCCTTCACTTCATCTTCTCTAGCATCAGCACACTCCTATGGCACTATGTATTCTTGTCATGTACTTCACCTACTTCAGGCTTCAATTTCAGAATCCAAAACCTTACCCTAATCTTGAGACTTCAGTTTTGAGGCTCCCAATTTTTTCTGGGAGAACATACAATCATGTGACAACTCCTTTAGTATTTAATTTGTCTTTTCTATTTGTATTTTGGACTCATTCTAATACCCTTTTCGAAAAGTATTTTTTTTCATTTTCAGTCTCTCCCATTCCGATAGCTTTCTTGTCTACCACTTAT